GACGAGGTGTGTGTGTGTAAGGTATCTTGCACCTGCTTGCAAATGTTGGCCTCCGAATTATCATTTTTCTTTTCTTTTCCTTTCTTTTCTTTTTTGCACGAATTCTCTGCGATTTTCACGTTTAGGACGTAGTCAGAGTTAAAAGCATGCATTCTGCGCAGTACGATCAGACCTGGTAGGAACGGTTAGTCTAAACTACTCTCCAAGCAGGTTTGGGTTTTGGGTTATTTTTATTTATTTATTTATTTATTTATTAGAATTTTCCAGACAACTGGATGGGAGGACAAAACAGGTGAATATACACCTTTGCTAGTTGTCCTCCCAAACATTACAATAATACATTACAATAATACACATAATACAATATCGAACAATCAATAATACAATATATACACTGGAACAATGTTTAAAAAACCATACTAATACTAGTGGCGTCTTAAAACCGTACAGGAGGCGCACCCACATGCGGTCGACCAAGAGCACGGAGCGTCAGGAATGAAGTGCTCATTGAATCTGGTAAATGACACTTTAACAAGTTGACGCTTGAAAGCTGAAATGTTGGACAGCTGATTGGCTAGGACTCCCAGATTACGAAGATCAGGACCCAGATTATTCCAGACTGTGACAAGCCGTGGGAAATAGGAATAGCTGAAGGCAGATGTTTTCGCTCTGAATGGGGTGAGCATGTGTGATCTGGAGTATCGAGAAGGTCGGGACGGAAAAGAGACATACTTTAGGGCGATTGACCTTGATTTGACAAACATAGGTGAGTTTTTAGGTTTTTGTAGTGAAAATGGTTGGGTGAAAAAAATTACAGGGCAAAAAAAAAGAAACCCAGATAAAAAAAACAACTAAACACGACAAAAATAACCCAAACCTCTGCTTGAAGAGTAGACCGAAACATCCTTGGTCTATAAAATAGTTTCTCGACTGCGGGAATTTTAGAGGGCCAGGAGGCAATAGCAGTCTTTGTTACTGCGTCACCTAGCGAAATCCTAGAGAAGTGTTGCTTGTTGGAAATGCCTGTATTTTGATTTTTGTTATGTTCAAAGGCCACCATTATATCTTCAGATGCATTAATCATTATTCACTTACGCGCCGGTTTGCTTGTAGTACCGAAGTACAAGTCGGGTTGTGCAGTATTAGCAGTGTACACACACGTACACACACACACACCCTTTGAAACTTTAAAACTTTGAAACTTTATTCATCAAAACAACATTGCAGGCTGAAACAGCCTGAATTGTGTTGCAAGTCACATGTAATTCCATATTAATAATAACAATTGTAACATTTTAGCGTTAAAAAGATTTAGTGTTAAAAGAAATATCCGATAATGACGTATTGTATAAAATATCGATAACACATTAAAATATAGACAATAATTGAGTGGAACAACTTAAGAATCCAAATACAAGGAGGCAATAAAATTTTTTTATAAAAGCCTAGCCTCCTGTGCAGGCCTCCGGGCGGGTGGGAGTTTTGATACTGCGTTTTGTAGAGTTTTTTAACGCGTTCTTTTAATTGCCCGCCATCCTACAACCAGCCGCCGAGGGAAGGTTTGCACCCGCCGGATTGTAGGATGTTCGGCTTTAAAAGAACGCGTTAAAAACTCTACAAAACGCAGTATCAAAACTCTCACCCGCCCGGAGCCCTGCACAGGAGGCTACACACACACCACTGCCTCTCAGTCAACAAACGTCTAATTGCGATTCAATAGACCAGGGCGAGTAAAGAGTCGGTGTATTCAACCCACCTCCCACACTGTCGTTATCATAACACGTGCGTACATAGTCACTTTTCAACAAACATCTCATGTTACTGTACTTAAACCGTTCGGACAAGCCACTGACTCATTTCTAGGATTAAATCTGTCACATTTTTCTCATTTACAAGTGCTGGTAGAATAGATATCGTAAAATAGTGAATAGATACTAGATAAAATTATGTGTTGTTTTTTTCAGACGATGTAGGTGAATAGAGGTTATATCTACATAACCTGACGGTAGGTCTATACACACTGGAAAATATTTACACGCATCCGAGATACGGGACAAAACATCAGATTGTGGAGCACTTTTGGCAGCCGGTTTTAATGCATACGCTGAAGAGGTGTACTCTAAACAGTTGTTACATGCATGTCCATTAACATACACATGTGTCGTGACTGCTTTATTCAGTTTGTCAACATGTATTTGATCTTCAAGCAGATCTAAGGATTCTGTGGTCATTTGTAGTGTTTTACGTCTGTATTTAGAACAGTATTTCTTTCGCAAAAACAAGTCTTAAACACTGAGGTGTAGAGAGATAATACGCCATGAGACTTGGTCCGCTAGAGAGTACAGCTAGGGCGCGGCAAAGTGTACTCTATAGCGGATCAACTCCACTGGTATATTATCTGTCTATTTGGCCAATTTCTACTCTTTCCAGTCGCCTCCCGACTCCTGGTAGAGGCTAGTCACCAATAACCAGCAAGGCTGTATCCAACAGGCAAGATACTTAGCCTCCATAGCATGCCAAAACTGGGGGTTTTGGGGGGTCTTCGTGGTCTTTGGGAGCTTTTATGTGCTATTTTCTGATTGCATATAGACAACATTAGCTATATATATAGCCGGCCTGGTTGAATTACCCTCAGAAAACAGCCGAAGACCACCAAAACCCCCGTTCTATAAGCCTGCTACGGAGGCTACAAGATACTACCCAAGATTACGTTTTAGTCTCTATGCAGTCTGCTGTGTGATCTTGATGTTACTGAGACAGAGAGCACAGGACTCGTTGCACGGATCCAGGCAGGTGTGCACCAGCGAGCCCCAGATCTGTTTCACGGACGCCAGGGTGATGTTGCAGGTCTTGATGCAGGGGATCATGGCCCAGATCTGGCAGAAGCTGAGACAGGCGAACTCGCAGCCCCAGCAGCAGGCCACGGGCAGGGCGCAGATGTACGTCAGCGTCTTGTAGCAGCAGGACTTGCTCCCGTTGTAACACTTGAAGGACCAGCGCCAGACGCCGTCCGCGCTGTGCGTGCCCTCAGGTTCCGCAAACACGTCTTCGAACAGAACCTGGCGGGAATAAGGAAAAACCGTTGAAGGTTCAGTGTATTATGTGCCGATCTACCAGCTTGCTGAATTTCGAGTTTTCCTAAGCTCTAGTTCTGAAGATACATGTATTGATGTGCCAAAAAACAGTTACTCAAGCAACTGGATTCAAAATCATATCCAGTTGCTTGAGTAACTGTTTTTTGGCATATCGTATTACCTGGATGTCTAACCTTCATCGACGTACATGTATTGATGTTAATGTGTGTTTGGAGAAGAAGAGGAAACTGAGCAAAAACAATAGGTTTCCTTCTGCGAAGGTAACATAACAAAAACACATTCCATAGATAACCCTTTCCTTTTCATAATCCACAAATATAACAGTTTCCGTTCTTATCTTTTATCGACGAAATTTCAGACGAGCGTCCATACGTACAGACGCCAACAGATCTGCTTGGAGATTTCTAGTAGGAACTACCGTCGAAAAGAATCTACGACCAACTTTTCCCTTGCATAGACAGTTGACTTTTACATGACACGTACGAGTGTTCCAAGACTGCCTTAAACGTCGTAAGTCTACCGTGCTACGACAAAAGCACACGTGGGGTCGTGTGGCGTTGCGGCAGAGTGCTCGACTCGGAACCAAGAGGTCCTGGCTTCGAGTCCTGACATGCCACCGATCTTGTGCCCTTGGGGGAAAGGCACTTTACACGACTTCCCTAATGTACTTCGCTCAGGTGAGAAATGAGTATTGTATTGCCCCCTGTGTTGGTGGCGGCATAATTTATAATATAAGTTCAAAGAAACTTGAGTGTGCCGTTACCACGCCTGGTGATTATATGTTGGAATATAAAAAAAAGAAGTACATGTGTATAATAAGTACCTTGGTATGTTCGTTGATGTTGTTGGGATCGCGCATGTCCATGTCGAGTCCAAACTCGCTTGGTATTTCTCTCGCCATGACTGAAGTTGAACTTGAAGACAGAAGCGGCCCTGCCATATATACGTACGGGATGCTCTCAATCAATCAGTCTTTATGCGTTCTGTCTAGAATCGCCACGGTCCAGGGCTCCGTAACATTAACGCGCGTCTCCCCGTCTCCTAGCGACGCGCGGTGTTGTAGCAACCCTTACAGGTGGATAAATAGGAAGGGTTGTTTGCGCTAAATAGTTATGTTTGCCGCCTTCACAGAGAGGTGACAGCAGGCGTGTCTTATTTACACACACCGTCCGCAGGGCAGGGCGAGGCAAAAACAACAGGAATTTCCTGTGGGGGAAAGCAGGGGAGTACTAATGGGTACCGAAAGAGACCAGTTATTTGAAATGGTCACCAAAATGTTCCCCAGCTTTATTCACCTTCCCAGCCTACAAAAAACTGCATTTCTATTAACACCTCCCAATTCATATATCTCGCAAAACGTCGGCCATTTCATACTCCACTGCACACGGAAAAGAAATCAAACCCAACAATAACTACAAATGTATATCTAAAGTAGCATTAGCATTACTTATTATCATTCTACTGTTTACTGTTGTTATCATGTTCTTGCAATTAGCCCTCGGGCATGAATTTGCAATAAACTTTCACTAATCTCCAAGCAGATCCTAGGGTGGCAAAAGATCAAATAGGCCAGGCAGTATCCATTGATCTCCTGGCCTTGGGTGGCGTATTGGACCATCTCTGGCCAGTTTGATACTGTCTCTTGCCACCCTAGGATCTGCTTGGAGATTAGGGGAATACATTGTACATCAAATGTGAACAAATTGGAGTCAGTGGTTATATTATGAAGAAATTGCAATTTAAAGTTACACATGTACAAGTATATCCGTTTTATAGGGTTGCTTTTGATATTCTATAATTAGCGTATTCTATCTATCTACATATCTGGCGTCATACGAATGATAGGAGAGAAAAAAACCTTAAGAGACACTCTTTTCTAATGGTTTATTGAGAAAATGTAACTTTATGTATTATTTCTATCTCTAAGAGACACACACGTTATAGTTATACACACAAAACACGAAACGAATAAGACCTAGATGCAACTTTAATCTATAGACGATCACAACGAGAAAGGTACGCTTATATATAGCCGTTTAATGGAAAATTTGTGCTGATTTTTCTTATTGAATTGTAGATACAAAAAGGACAGTTATTATTCCCCTAGAATATCTTTTCAAGACAAGGTTCGTCTAGCCGACATGTAACAAGTTGTAACCATAACCTAGACATGAGCCAGATAAGGGATAGCATTCAAGTTTCAGAATATCTTGTGCCACGTGTATGAAGAAAGTACACAACGAGAGCACATATTGTCGGATGGCTTCCGTGAATAGTTTGGTAATCAGGTTGGTAAAGCCATAGAATAAAGAGACTCTTTTTACACAGCCAAGTGTACATGTATGTATAGCAGCGGCACTTGTGCTGTGCAATGTGAAACAGTCAGAATATTGCCCTGAGGAAGGTGACAGACGGTCACCGAAACGTCGGCTGAATACTGAACACTTGGTTGTGTAAAAACGAGTCTCTTTATTCGGTTCTCCACCTTCCAAAACCCAGTCTTTAAGCCGACTGTTGCGTGATCTTGATGCTGCTGAGACAGAGCGCGCAGGATTCGGTGCAGGGATCCAAGCAAGTGTGCCAGAAGGACCCCCACACCTTCTTGACGGAGGCCAGTGTGATGTTGCAGGTCTTGATGCAGGGGATCATGGCCCAGATCTGGCAGAAGCTGAGACAGGCGAACTCGCAGCCCCAGCAGCAGGCCACGGGCAGGGCGCAGATGTACGTCAGCGTCTTGTAGCAGCAGGACTTGCTCCCGTTGTAACACTTGAAGGACCAGCGCCAGACGCCGTCCGCGCTGTGCGTGCCCTCAGGTTCCGCAAACACGTCTTCGAACAGAACCTGGCGGGCAAAGAACAACAATCCACAAATATAAGAGTTTCTTCTCTCACCTTTTAACAGTTAAAGTTCAGACGATGTGTTAGTACTTGCGAGCTCCTCAGTACAAACTATCATATTGTTTAGACCGTATGACTCTGAGAGAAGTCCACAGGAAATTGTAACCCGGGGGGCAAAGAACACACCACAGCATTATGCCTATCTATCGTTTTCAGACTTGCAGTGACACAACTGACAGTGTGTGTGTGTTACGTGGTGTGGGGAAGGAGGCAGACACACACAGAACCAGGAGGTCCCTGGTTCGAGTCCTGACATGCCACCGATCTTGTGCCCTTGGGAAAGGCACTTTATACGACTTTCCTCACTTAACTCAAGAGAAAACGAGTATTGTCCTATCCTGTATTTGTCATCTGCGTTGGTGGCAGCATAAGATAAGTTGACACAACTTGAGTGTGCCGTCACCATGTCTAGTCATAAAATGTTGAAATGTTAAAAAAAATGGCAGTAAAAGACACACACAGCATGAATGCCTGACGTTTTCAGACTTGCATTTTACAATCTTACTCGTACAGACCTATTTCTGATGCAAAACAGTTCTCTTTCGATCATCTACTTTCGAATTTCCTGTGCAGACTTTTTTTCCAATGTTGAAGTCTTGTTCATGCGTACTTTGTACTACTCATACATACATGTTGCCATCCAATCTCTAACGCTTGGGTCTCTACCTTTTAGGTCTTCAATTTTCAAACCTTGTTCTTCCGGAATTATGTTCGGATTTTCAGTGAAAGTGGTTGACAAGCACCCCTACTCTCAAGTTACTTCAAGATAAACATATTATGTTACCTTAGTGTGCTCGTTCAAGTTGTTAGGATCTCTCTCGTCCATGTCGAGGCCGTACTCGCTGGGGATTTCTTGCGCCATGGTGTTGGAGCTAGTGACGGTGTTTCCGTACATGGAAGGTTCGGACTCTCAATGTGCTAACCGGGCCGGAGCGTGCCGCTATATGTACGTGTGTATCTTCCGGTGTCTTGGCGACTGTGGCGTGTTGTAGCAACAGGTGACAGCCCGGCCCACCAGTCGTTAGAAAGCTTCATTGTGTTAGATTTGTTCAAAGAGTTTGAGAAAGAACCTGTTTTATAATAGTTTGTTCTCGCCACAGACAACTGACAGTGTGTGTGTGTTACGTGGTGTGGGTTAGGAGACAGACACACACAGGGAGTGGAGCATTGGCTGCTAATGAAGATGACGTTAGGTTAACGTTATGGCTGATTTGCATCGTTTATGCACATTTCCTGTCTACAGTCTACAGAAAAAAGACAATAAACAAGGCGGATTTAGGGAATTTTAGCAATACGTCCACCCTTCAAAACTTAAGTGAGAGGTGAACGTACAAATATTGTTTTTAGTGGCCGCATTGTTAGTTTGTATGTTTGTCAGGATGGAGTACTAAGGTTAACAGCATGTGTAAATACTGTACATACTATAGACAGGCGCTATGTACAGTATTTACAGGTTCATTGTACCAGGGAAATTCCCCCTGCTCTTTTTCGACAAGCTCAATGAACAGTGGACAACGGCCTAACGTCCCGTCCTGAGGACTGGGACCCTTTTTAGTAGCGTGCATGTCGGGTGAGCGGCAACAGCCTGGATTCGAACTCTCAACCTATTACTGGTATTAGTTATGGGGGAATTGTCGCTAACCACTGGACTACGCACACTACAAACAACATTGGCAGGAAATGGAGTAAACTTGAAGGTCCCACAGTTTGGGTGAGAGCCAGCATATGAGAAGCAATTATGCACAAGCATTGCTTTCCTGATCAAAAGTAGTTAATAGCTAAGAGCTATACAGTCAGCAACATTAACAGTGAGTTTGTCCGGCATTAACCATAGTGGAAAACTAACAATCTTGGATCACAATGAAGAGAACTGAGTCCCATACAAAGGTAGCCATCTGGTTCCACACTGCATGTTTATTACGTCAAGAACTTTATACACGTTTGGGATTTTAGCAAACATAGAACTTTTCAGCACAAGATTTTTTAACATATCCTCCATCATTGCAGCTGCATTTTGATTACCGGGTAACTTTCGCCTGGTTCGGTCGTAACAAACGAAATTTGAAGACAAAAGTTCTAATAATAACGACAACATCATCATCATCTCACATTATCTCTTTACAACGTATCACTCTATATAGACTACATCCGACTAAAGGTAAGGAATAACTCAGGAAACGGCTAAGTAATCGTCCGAGGCGATCTCGGGAAGTCTTCACTCGTGGGCCTCGACGTGTTGAGGCTGCTTCTGCTGCATGCAGCTCCGGGCGACCGACTCGAACAGTCTGTGGAGAGAACCGAAAATCTGGTCAGTGATTTATTTATTTCTTAGTTCGGCTTACAAGACCTAGTCTTGCCCAACTAGTCATAAGACTATTATTGACGGTCAACTGTGGGAGAAAATAAAATCGTTAGGTCTACATACATATACATGTACAATTAATAAGATGCACAGGCCTCAAAATCCCACCTAAAATGCAGGTTAGTGCAGTTCATATTGGAGCTGTGCAGGTATTTCAAAGGTCAACCTGCACCTACACAACTTAGCTACAACCAATCTAACTTGTAAGTGCTGAGTGCTAAACAGAGAAAGCAGTTTGTTCATTTTCAAAGTCTGTGGTTTGAACCCACAACCTGCGGAATGTAAAGTGAATGCTCGCTCACTTACTTGCACACACACACACACAATCTGGTTAAAGGTTTATCCAGTTTTGCCTCCTTGTCTTTTCTCTTAATCTAAACTTACTTCTCGATTTCAGGAGCACAGTGGACGAAGTCGTGGTTCCAGAACTTGAATGTTGGGTTCTTGATGAGCTCGATGAAGGTGATGAGCAGACCCCACGGGTGAGGCCGGTTCACAATCAGCCGTTCAAGCAGCACCCTACAAAGAACAAACAAACAAACGTTGTTATTGACACGTCTAAAGCACACTGAAAAGCTGGCAAGGTAGGCTTGAGGTTAGGGCTGTTGACTTAGGGTCTTAGGGTCCACGGTTCGAATCCCTAGCAGGCCCAATGTTAAACCTTTTGGAAAGGCACTTTATCCCTATTTCCTTACTCCTACTTAAATGAGTTCCTGGCTTCAAACGACATGCTTTCAAATGGGTTGGAGGTCTATGTTTTTAAGGAGAGCCACTCAAGTCTGTATCTGTATCTGTATCTGTATAGCCGGTATAACTTCAGTGTAACACATCAGCTTCGCAGGCAACATGTCTGTGTCACATGATATAAACTTTACCTCAATTCAAATTGAGAAGGATTGAAAGCATGGTGTACAGAACTAGTGTATAAAATCTTTTCACGTTACCTGGTGATTTGTTCCTGGATGGCCTCAGAGTTGGCCTCGGCAAACAGGTACAGTAGAGTGCAGCTGAAGTAGTGGGTGTGGCTGTTGGGGTAACGCAGCTGGTTCGCAATGGCATTCAGGAACAGGTATCGTCCTGAAAACAGTGACAGCATGGTCAAGGTCAATCACTGTGCCAAAACGCCTTCGTCTAGTGTCAATGACTTAAGTGTCACTGACGAAAGGTAGTCGATGTTACCTGAAACCTCACACCATCCGACTGTACAATAGTCAAATGCAGGCTTAGTGTTTTTTTTCCATGTCCTATTTGTGTATCCATATGTATGTAATTGCCCTGTGTTTCTGCTTGTATCCAATACGTGAAGTTGACGCAATTCAGGAGTACTTTGTTTAGTTTGTTGTACTTCTGCTATGTTGATTGATTTTGATAAAATTGAAATGGACCACTATGGAACAAGCTACCACGTGATTGTTTCCCATATGGGTATAACCGTAAACTTTTCAAGTCTAAGGTCAACAAACATCTGTCCTCACTGTTTGTACAGTAAGCCAAAACATTTGAGTGGCTCCCATGAGCCTTGTCTTGTGGTGGACATGAATTAAAAAAAATGTTGAAATTTACCTTCTGTGTCCAGGTCGACAGCGAGGTTCTGGAAGATGTCCATGTGTGCGGAGTGAGTGATGGTGTTCATGGAGGGCGTGCTGCCCTTGGTGTGTATGTAGGTGATGGCCTGCGTGCCCACGTACAGGACCAGGGCATTCATCAGCGAGATGTTGTAGCACAGACCCGGCTCCGTTGACACCTGCAGGTTACTGCGCAGGTCAGACAGGAACGTCACGGGCGCTCGCGTCTTCAGGTACGTGTCCAGGTCCTACAGGAAAAGTTGAAGATCATTAACTGAGATGAATAAGACATAAGGCCGCCAACATTCATGTCAAGTTTATTACTGGACCTGCACAAGTCTCGACCTAGTCTCATGTTCTCTTGACACTAGGTCACTCCATGATCAAGATGTACAGTAGACATAGAAAATTTGGAGGTAAATGTTTCTACCTTTCAAAACAAGTCACTGATTGATGAATTTCTACTAACTGTTAATCTTACATGACTGATGAACCTCTTCATTGATAAAGAAGTTCAAAGTAACATACATTCACCTGTACTTAAATCTCTGTAAATAAAACCTACATTGTGTTGTGTAAAGCCACCTAGTTCTGTTTTACTTGAAGAATAATTCTGTCTCAGAAGAACATGTAATATAAAGTTATGATTATTATGTAATCACCACCGACCTTTTTGAAGGAAGAAGGCTGAATCAAGGCAGCAAAGTTGGTGAGGATGCGGGGAGGGTGATTAATCTCTGGCAACATGTCCACCTGGGGAAGGAAAACAGAAAAGATCTTCAGAAATGATATTTTATAAAGAGCTGCTTAAAGTTGCATGTACAGGTACAGACCCAGACAAAAAGCTAAACTCAACAGCTTACTCCTTACTTTATGAATATCATGGGAGCCAGAGCAGCTATATAATGAGCATTTCAGTGCTCAGGCATGTGAATCAGCATGTGTCTGCTCGGTTGTGAATCTTTACAATTTCCACAATGTCCCAATGATTTCCTGGAATTTCACTACGTAGGACATAGATGAGTGTCAGCAAAATTCCAGAGCTGTGAGACATTCCTGTGAACATTCCATAAAATTCCTGTACAATTCCTAAAATTCTTCCACACAATATTGTACAATTAGGCTCCCCCTGAGGCGTTGCCAAAAAAGTTTTCACCTTTAGGTTAGGAGTGAAGGGGTCTGGCAGGCGCATGTTTCGGGGGAAGGCACTGAGAATGAGGTTCCTCATCTGGATGCAGTTTGGCGGGATGACGTCCACGAAGCTGTAGTGGTAGTCACACAGGAACTCTGGGAAATCATGCAGCAGCACCAGCAGCACGCGCAGGGTGCCCTGGGAACAAGAAGGCAATGTTTCAAATCTGAGAGTTTTCAACTAGTTTTGCTACTGTTACTTAAAACTTTGTCAAGAAAAGGTGCAATCCTACAGCAAAAAAAAATGCACGTTGAGATGTTTGTGACTTTGAAACATGTCATTAAGTAAACAAGGTGTTTTTCGTTTTGTGCTTACATTATATCCTCTTCACTCATTAACGAAAAGTACTAGATGCTACTTAAAACGTCTGACAGTTTTCAAAATCTATCCAGTTGCTTGAGTAACAGTTCTCATTTTCACTTGAGTGAGGAAAGTCATGTAAAGGAGGTGCATTTTGCAAGGGCACAAGATTGATGACAATCAGGATTCGAGCCAAGGACATTATGGTTCTGAGTCTAACACTCTGCTGTTACACCACATGACCCAACAACAGTGGTTGCAAGAATATATCCTTGTCTGTTTGGTCCCTGTAAATGTCACTTGTAGTTCAACAGTTGTGTTACCCCAAGGCAAGCTCACCTTGTACAGCAGCTGCATGGGCTTGGTGAGCTCCACGTTGCGCAGGAAGGGAGCCAGGAACTTGAACAGATCGATGAGCAGCTGGGCGTACATGCCCCAACCCTGGAGCACTGAAGACACACTCTTCTGGTGGGGAAAATATGTGTCAGTACCTGCCTGCTTCATTGATGCAGATTGTAAGTGTGAATGCTATGAATGCTCTATAGCAATTGTTTTCAAATGTAGAAATTAGACAGTCAAACTTGTACAAGTGACCATTTCTACATAAGGACCACCTGGCCTTATTTAGACATAGACAGACCTTCTTTAGTGACCACCTCTACCTAAGGGCCCCTGGCCATTGATGTACAGTCAGAACTGTACAAATGACCAACTCTACATAAAAGGACTACACCACCTGGCCAATGTGACCATTTTTTGGTGGTCCCTTAGACATAAGTATTAAGAATTCTGTCTATAGTGACCACCTGTCCATATAGACCAGAATTTATCAGTCCAGAGTGGTCTTCTTGTACAGTTCTAACTGTATCGAATCTGGCTGAATTGTTCCAAGGGTAAAACAAAATGGTTCCTGTGCTTACTTTGATGCTGAGTTTCTGGTTGGATGTGAGGGCCAGCATGCGAGTGATGAAGACCCAGTGTGACACCAGCTCTAGAGTAGCTGGCCCACCCAATGACAATATATCAAATAACAACTTTTTTAGGGGAAAAAACAGTTCCCATGCTTACGTTGACTAGTTTCTGGTTGGAGGTGAGGGCCAGTATGCAGACAATGAAGACTCTGTGGCACTTTTTGGTGTTCCCTTAGATAATTAGTGGGTTTGTAACAGGACTGCTCTACTTCTAAGGGGGGTGGGGTTTGTAACAGGTAGTGGACAAATGGTTCGCAGTGGGTCCATAACACTTACGTTGACTCCGAGTTTCTGGTTGGATGTGAGGGCCAGCATGCGAGCGATGAAGACCCGGTGTGACACCAGCTCCAACCAGGCGTAGGCAAACCCAGGCGCCTTGGACGGGCGCAGGATGTGGAATGTGTTGCTGTAACAATCATGAAGAAAGGATAGGTCAGCAGATGTATAATACAATTCTGTTCATTGTACATTTCGCTGTATCACAATGAACCTGTAAATACTGTACATAGCGTCTGTTTTCTTTGTCACCACCAGTCGGAGATCAGTTCTTCAGTGAGCTAAACATTGATCGATATCACTTTCCTTTACTTTGTAATGCAATTATAATCAACAGATTCAAACCTAACAGTCCAGTCTTACGCAGCTTGTACTTACATGTACAAAACTGATATGTTACGCCTAAAAAGGCAGTTTACTGGTTATGCAAAACAAACAACTCTCACCAGAAGGCTGTGAGGACTTGAAAGTTGATGGACTCGAGGACGTGTTCGGGTGCGTTGAGCTCCAGGAGCAGCATGATGAAGAGGCGGTGGTACGGCAGCTGCTGGAAGTCCGTCCCTCGAACCTCGTGGTCCTGCAGCAGGACTCCAACAATGATGCCCAGAACCTGTAGAATAGGATCCAATTAGAGCATGAATTGTTTGTTTGTTTGTTTGTTTGTTTATTTATCTGTGGTACGGCAGCTGCTGGAAGTCTGTCCCTCGTACCTCGTGGTCCTGCAGCAGGACTCCCACGATGATGCCCAGAACCTGTGGGACAACATCCAACGGGAGAATGAATTGTTTGTTTGCCAGCCCACCTGCCTACCTAAATGCTTAGGCCAGAACTGGCCGCTTGCTCCTCTTCATTTTTTTGCTAAGTTGCTTTTGCTAAGTTGCTTTTGCTCTGCAACCTTGAGGGACCATCCAGCATTCATTAACTCTTTGGTGCCACCATCTTTTGGGGGGTTTTCCTCTAGGCCTAGGGTTTTCAAAGTCCTGGTGGTAGGCCCCGTATACAAAAGAGTTCTCTAAAGTCTAAATGTGACCAAACCACCTCAGCCTTCTTTTACGGATATCCTCAATAATTGTAATAACTGTAATTATATAATTAATAAATAATTGTAATAATAATCCTCTTTTCATACATGGTAGTCATAATAGAACTGAACGGCATACCTTGTTGAGCAGGTTGATCTTGGTGACGGTGTTGGTGGCGTCTCCGCTGTGCTTGACCAGCAGCGCGATGAGCCGCACGTAGGCGTCCAGCGTGTGGAAACACTTGGCGCGCAGCAGGGTGGGGTTGTGGGAGGCCTCGCTCAGCGCACGGTAGCACAGGTCCACGCACATCTCCGTACACAGCCGGAAGAACCGCGTGATCAGGTCGTCGGTCTTCAGGATACCCTGCTGGTGCATCTAACAACACAGAAAAAAAAAAGACCTTTCACTATCCGGTTTATCGTCTGTTGTTCCCTGACTCCCGAGGGTTAGGCACAGCAGTACTGAGGCTTAATGGTAGCCTGCCACTGGCCTCTATCCTGTGGGTTGACGTCTTTAATTATCAAAGAAAAAGTTACGATACAGGGGTAAGTTTTTCAGGAATCTTTCACTCGTCGGTCATCGGGATGCCCTGCTGGTACATCTGAAATCAGAACAACACTGAAAAAGAAACACTTGGCGCGCAGCAGGGTGGGGTTGTGAGAGGCCTCGCTCAGCGCACGGTAGCACAGGTCCACACACATCTCCGTACACAGTCGGAAGAACCGCGTGATCAGGTCGTCTGTCTTCAGGATACCCTGCTGGTGCATCTGGAAACAGAACAAACTATTGTCATACTAGGCAAAAGATCTTTTTATCAAAGAAAAAGTTAAGTTACTGGATGTCAGTCCTGCAGTCCTGCCGACTCCGATGGTATGGCCACGCTAAACGTGCCAGTGGCTGTATTAATGGTAACATTAATAACATCATTGAACTGCAGCTGCCTAGCAGCAGAGGTTGGGGAAGACCTACAAAGACCTAGATAGCATGTGTCAAAGACAGAGAGCGCGGCCTTGCCAGTGTAAATCTGCTGGATAGGGTCGCCTGGAGGTGCAGAGTGAAGACCAGTACTAGCTGACTACTGCTAACCCCTGTGACAGGGACAACAGCAGCAGAACAATAAAATCCTGGATAGAGAGATATATTTTTTTACCCCTCACCTGTTGTACGAACACCTGGAAGGCCTTGGAGCTGTCCCGTCCGGCGGCGGGTGAGTGGTACATGTTGACCCACTCCCGCAGGAGGTACTCCGACTTCTCGTGGAGACCGGGAGGGTCGTCGTACTCCCGGGCCTGGGATATCCCAGAGTGCATCATGGAGGTGGGCCCTCCCGGGGCGCGGTCCAGGATGGTGTCGTGGTTCTGGCGAATGACGTCCACCAGAGCAGCAAGGCTGGAGAGAGAACACAGAAATTCAACTAAATTTGTTTGGAAAGTATGTACAGGGTTTGAAATACCCACTCTCTCAAATCATCTTTTCCCTGCCCGACTTAATGAAGACGCTAGGTTGCCCAGCATACAAGATACCTGGCAAGGCTGGAGAGAGAAAGCTAAAATTAAACTAAATTTGTCTGAAAAGTACATATATATACAGGATTTGAAATACCTGCTCTCGCAAGTGGTCTTTTTTCTGTGCAAGACTTAGTGGAGATGCTAGGTTGCCCGGCATACAATTTACCTTTTTCAGCATACAAAGCAGCAACCTTTTTTGTAGTTTACAGAGGCCAAGCTTACAGCTTCTGACATACTCTGAACTAAACAGCTGTTGTTGACAGACTACCCCTACGGGGGTATTATGTAATGGACCACTGGAAGAATAGCTGTTAAGCTAAATGTGGATCCAAATACAATCAAGGTACCTCCTCTTGCACTACTGCGTAATGAGAGAACTCACCCTTCCGGAGCGTTTCTGATATTGACATTTACTGCCATGTTAAATGTACATACTTCAGTTAAACTGGAGTTCAGTTTACTCAGATCTACAGCTGTCGAAAACCCTTATGCTTTGTATAAAGATTTTGTACAGCTTTACCTCCCCTTGCACAACTGCGTAACGAGAGGACTCACCCTTCCGGAGCGTTTCTGGAGTGCGCGGCGATGCGGGCCAGGTTCTCCACGGTGTTGTACAGATCCGCCTCCGTCACGTCCGAGCTGTTCCGCTCGTCGATCAGGTGCAGGCGAACCAGCTGCATCGCAAACGTCACCGCCATGAAGTTCAGACCGTTCTCCATGCTCTGGGGGGACAAAACAAACAGGTTTTATAATTACCAATTTCTCAGCCAGGGCTGGAAATACCACCTGCATATGTAGGTAAAACTCTGTATCTGTATCATTCTGTATCTGTATCGGTATAGCTGGTATAACCGCCCTTCAGCGTAACACACCAGCTTCGCAGGCACGCGGCGCGGCGGCAGCTAGCTTTATCACACCGAACGGCTTGTTACACTCAATCTTTGCACATTTGATTGCTGGAGCTGTGCAGGGATTTCTGATGTCTACCTGCACCTAACCTGCACTGGTCCATGTACTGGGTATATGCAGGTTAGTGCAGGTAAATTGGAGCTGTGCAGGTGTATTTCTGATGTCTACCTGCACCTAACCTGCACTGGTCCATGTACTGGGTATATGCAGGTTAGTGCAGGTAAAATTGGAGCTGTGCAGGTATTTCTGATGTCTACCTGCACCTAACCTGCACTGGTCCATGTACTGGGTATATGCAGGTTAGCGCAGGTAAAATTGGAGCTGTGCAGGTATTTCTGATGTCTACCTGCACTGGTCCACATACTGGGCTCACACACACATGTAGGTGTATGTGTATTTTCAGCTGTACTGACTATCATCCTCTATGAAGTATAAAGAATTAATGTCGATCATGATAGTTTCTTAGCAGTTTTTAGTGTGATTCATACTTCCTACATCTGAGTATTGCAAGTAAAATTTCTATGGCGCAGGTGATTTTCAATATTAACTGCACCAGTATGCAGATTAAAGAATTTCCAGCTCTGGTTTCTCACCTGTGCCAAGTGAGTGTCGTACTGCTGCATGTTGATGAGTCGAGCTCGGACCAGGCAGTTCACGGCCTCCAGGTTGTACTTAAGTTCCTCTCGACACTCACACAGAACCCTGCAAACATTCAAGATCATGGCACTTTTGTAAATTACAGGCTACATTAAAGTTCAGTATGATCTGTACTTCGCCAAAAAACAGGTAGCATCACTGAAGAAAGGTGAACTGAACTGGCTCTAAACACCCTTTCTACCGAGTAATTAAAGAGACTCAGTAGAAAGGTTGCATAAAGAAAGGTTGGGAATGCATCTATAGCAGCGACACCTGTGCTGAAGTGCAATGTGAACCAGTCAGAATTGCCCTGAGGCTGTGAATAAAACACTTGCAATTGGTTGTGTAAAAAGAGTCTCTTTATTCAGTAACTTGATGAAACTATTAACGCACTGTTTGTTTCAAGCACTGCAAGTTAAAACCTGATAAGTATGTCTCACCTGGTGACTTGTTTGTTGGTCCAGTGTGGTCCGTACGCACGCTGATCCTGTAGACCCTTCAGCACCAGGAGGTGGGCATCACGGAACCGCAGGGCCAGCTCTGGGTCACTGGGCAGCTGGGTCAGACCGTCAAGCAGACCCTCCACAGCCTGGGAACAGGAAAACATCACATACTTCATGAATTCAGTCTCCAATCTTAGCATGAAAGCCAATCTGTGTTGGTGCATTCCACCAGCCCAACAGCCAACACTCAACAGACAGTGAGAACATTGTGAACTGACCAGGAAAGTTAAAACTTTTGTTCCAACACAAGGGATTGCCCTCATCTAGAGCTTTGGACTGTGACTGGTTGAAAGCTGTAGGTGGGAACTACTTTTTGTGTTGGGACAAGTTTTGACCTTAAACATGTAACAACCCAACACAAATGAACACAGATGAACCAGAGATTAATCAGATTTAGATTCAGACTCAGCTTTATCTATTCAGATTCAGCTGATCTCACCTTCTGCAGCAGTGCGAGCGCGGTGACGATCTCGCGAGAGTTGCGCGCGAGAATGACAGCCTCGAGCAGACTGTGCATGGCGGCCACCTGCTGGTTGGTGGGCGGGGCCAGGATGGCGTGCAGGTGTTGCTCCAGCTCGCTGATGATCCGGTCGTAGATCTGCGTGATCTCGTCTGTTGCAAAGGACTGAAAAGTGAAAAAAAAACTTCAGTAAAGCTAAATGAGAATAGAGACTACTACTACTACTGCTACTAGACTGGTCTAGAGTTACAAAGATCTGCATGATTTCGTCGGTCACGAAGGACCGAAACATGACAATAATAACTTCAGTTCAGCTTGATGCAATGGAGACAATGGATACAAGGGTATCAGTATCTGTTTAATCAAAGACTAGAGACTACTACTACTAGTACTACTGCTACTAGGCTGGTCTAGAGTCACATAGATCTGTGTGATCTCATCCGTCATGTCACAGTTGCCTTAGAATAATGTCTAATATGTAGACTATGATGTATGTGTGAAAACGAAATATGGTCAACTTACCTTCATGCCATCCCTGGCTTCTTTATCCTCTGTAGCGGCCTGGTCACGATTAACAGCCGAAAGGGCAGGCTGAAAGAAAGAAAAAAAAACAAGTTATCATATGGATATCAATACCATTATTCAGTATAATACTGTGTACAAGATGTACAGGATAAACTCACACATGGTTAGGTATCCCCTATTTCCACAAGTACAGTCAAATCTGTACAAGTCAATACCTCTGCATGACTGGCCATTGTGACCACTTGTTGGTGGTCCCTTAGATAATTTTTCGCACTGACACAAGCATTAAAAATCCTGCCCATAGTAACCACCTGTCCACTTAGACCAGCTTTTCATCAGTCCCCTTAAGACTTCTTTTTCTTCCTTTAGCTTTAAAGCCATATTTCTCCTATCTTGCTGACATGAAATTGAAAATAGGTAATCAGAACTTACAGGCATTGGCTTTGCTAAGAAGCCGCTTGGCTGGTTGGCCTCGTTGGTGGGCAGGAACCCTGGTATCTGTCGGGCGAACTCCTCATACACAGCAGTCTGCTGTGCTGTCACGCCCCCTACCTGTTGGTGCATGAATGACAGTTAGCATAGAGAAGCATGATTGAGGTTATAATTTGTAGACTTATAGGTGTAAAATTAGTATCTACATGTAGAAGGTAGTGAAAGGAGAGGGATGGGCTCTGCCTACCAATACCGTGCCCTAGACACAGTGGATCAACAGGCCACTTTCTCTATGGCCTCAAAAAGGCTATAGTACTACCTTTATGTTAACCCCATACAAATTTACAACATTCAAACCCAACCCGGACCTGGTGTGATGCACCATGATGGAGCTTGTTAGGTGTATAACAAAACAAACAAACAAACAAACAATCATGCAAGTTCATCAGTGTTGGTACAAACGCTGTAGTAATCATAGTAAAAAGTTGAACTTTATTCCAACACAAGGATTACACAGAGATCAAATTTTCTGTGAACGACCACTGTCGCCTTCAACAGGATAATGAATGACCAATCACTTCAAAATGTAATCTCACGAGAGTTACGGTTAGACACGTGACCCTATTCACACAATACTTTACCTGATGTAAGCAATTGATCAAAAGTGCCACAAACCTTGAGCCGGATCTGTTCTGGCATGCGTTCGGCCTGATAGGTCAGCACGACGGGGTCGCAGTAGCGCCGGCCCTCATTCCTCGCATGTTTGCGCAGCTCGAACTCGGTGGCCAGGCGCTTGTCCATCTCCGGGATGGCCTTCTCCACGGCAGACTTCTGGATGAAAGCGCAGGCCAGCTCTACGTTCTCCTGGGCGATCATGCTGGCAGCCTGCTCGATCATCTCCTTCTGCTGCTGCGTAGCACCCTGAAACAAAAACGTAAAATTACAAACATCTTTTACTGTAATCTCGAGAGACAAAATAAGTCAGAACAGGTCGAATTCTGTCTCACTCACTCAATCACTCATTGTCCGGTGTATCGTCTGTTGTTCCCTATCTACCGAGGGTTAGACGTGCTTGCACTGCACAACACTGTCATTTTCCCAAAGCTGCGAATGATCTCTGTTACTGTGATGATCTACCCTTGGAGTAGTTTTATTCTCTTCTAGGAAAGGTTTTGGCAGTTGAATTTACAACTAACTTTTGTGAATTTCAAAAAGTTGAATTTAAAATATATTATGACAAATGCTGCTTCTTTTGCAACTCACTAGTAGCTCACTTGTTAGTATAATCAAGGAAATAAACAGAGAGTTCCTTTTGTGTCGGACTAAGGTTAACAAATAAGTATCCTACACTTAAGCTTGTGAGAAAGCTGGTTTTCAGGTTGTTGGCAATGGAGTTTATCTCTCTAATGATTCTTTTTTAAAATTGTTGCTCAATGCAAAGCCAAATAACCATTTCTAGGCATTGAGCTAGGTGATATGACAGATATATGAGTATACCAAGAGATGGTGGTGAATGTTGAAGAAAGTGTAGCACACTGACTACATGTATGTTAGAGTTATAAGACAAATAACCAGGTGACCTACCCTTAGTGTAGTGAGGAAGCTGGTCTTCAGGTTGTTGTCTATGCTGACATACAGGGGTTCCCGGCATGTGATCATCGCCATCCCCGCGGTCATGTAGCGAACCATGTGGTGTGCCGCCGCTCGCATACGCGCCTCTTCTGGGTCTAGGGCGAAGTCCTGAAAAAATTGGTATTAGCATTGGTATTTATTCTAGTTAAGGTCCTTCCCACACCAGTTGGTGCATAGGGTGCGCCCCTATCCAGTTCAATAGCCCTTGGGCCATGCCACACATAGTTGTGCCATCACAGCAGGGGCTAGTTCACTGGTAGTTGTGTGTTTAACTACAATAATCTTTACCAAAAGCTATCATAACTATTACAGCTATCTCGTCTATTTCAATCCTATTCATTTTCTTCTCATTTATCTATTAAGGACTGGGCAAAAGTCTAATATCTGGTTAGTATCATCCAAGTCTAATGGACAGATCTTTAAGTATCTACATAAATAACTAAATAAACAGAAAGTCGCACAAAGTACCTTCTTGACTATCTGTTCACAGGTTGTCATGGCTATTTTGATGGACCTCTCCACGACAGGATGGACCAGCTCCTGGACCGAGCGCTCGATGGCAGGGCGGACACAGGCCTTCAGCTGGGGGTGGGCCGTGAACAGGGGAACCTACAGGGGGAGAGATAAACAAGGCTGTTATGTAGGATACAAGAAAACATGCGACTTGTTACTTGCATGGTATAATAGTCGCTGTTGCTGCACCGCGTGCCTGCGAAGCTGGTGTGTTACGCTGAGGAGCAGTTATACTGGCTATACAGGTACAGATACTTGCAGCCAAGTGACTTGCCTACAGTACAAGGCTGTTCTGAACAATGTGTGTGTGTATGGGTGTGTGTTTTGGGTGTAGATTTTACTTGGCATGTTGGTAGGTTGTGACAAAAACTGGAAATGATTTAAGGCCCCAACAGCTTACCACAGTACTGCAGCAGAACTTTTGTTATCTCGTGTTATAAAAAAAGTGAATTTCAAGCCCTGTCGCTGTTTTCCTTACACACTCACGTTATTACTGATGGAGATATGTGGAGCCAGGCCGGCAAACGTCATGGTGTTGACATCATGGAAGCTGAACTTAGGTTCTGGAGGGATGGTGGGCACAGCGGTTGTGGTGGTGGTGGTGGTAGTAGAGGTCACGGAGGGCAGCCCCGTGGTCGACGAGGCGTGTGGGACTTCCTCCACTGGTTTGTCGTTCTTGGGCGCAGATAGCTGCTCCTCGATCTGAGAGAGCTTGTCCTTGTCCTTCAGGTAGTTTCCTGGTTTCAGGTCCTGTGGAGGAACAAGGAGAGAAAACATTTTTTACCGAAAATTCTGCACTGCTGTATTCAAATCCTAACTTGGCTGCATTTTACTTCTCATTTTGTAATGTTGGAGGTTCTGTTAACACAAGTTATTTTCTTGTCATAGTTGCACTTGTTTTGATTTGTTTCTAACTCTTTCTCCAGGTTGACTCGTTCTTGTTGCTGCTTTTCAGAGAGACCTGTATGGTACAGTTACCAAAAAGTATGTTGTGTTTTCAAACAGACCCATCTTATAGCTCTTCCTACCCTGTTCAAAACATAAAAATATACAAATATGAACAATGTTAAGCCAAAATTCTATTACAAGGATCTACCAATTTACATGGATAATAGGGCTCGAAATAATTTTTTCTGCATACCCACGATTTGTCTATCTGAACTTAGGAGAGTTTACTTACACCAATGTCCAGATTCAGGGTCTTGCAGAGAACTTCTATCTCGAACTTGAGGTTGAGTTTCAGATCTGGTTCCTGGTGCAGTTCAGACAGTACGTTCATGATGGCGAGTGTCCAGGGGTTGGGTGGTTTGAACACCTTACTCTTCGCACAGGACTCCAGGACTTTGGCAACAAACGGAACCACATACAGGAGTTCCTGGTGTCCTTTGTGATAGGCCTCCAGTAGAAGGGACTTGATGTCTATGTCCTGTAAAAAGCAAACAAAAAATTCCTTACTTTAGACACTTTTGGTCAAGAGGCAGGGTTTCTAGCCACTGGACTATGCACGCTACTTCAGGATAGATCCAAATGGAAAAAAAGTCACAGCCTTGTCTCCCCAGAGACCAAGAGAATAAAAGTGTAGAAGTCTTTGTCGACAACGATGGACAACCAAGATCACTACTTAGTACAACGCTAGATTTCATTCCAACACAAAGGGTACATAAGGATCAAATTTTCAACTGAATAATTCACACAAAACTTTACGGATACGTGACATCAGCAATTTTGTTGGAATGAAGTCCTACAATAATTACTACCAACACAGATGAACTTCCATGATAATAAGTACTACTTACTATCTGTAGAATGGGCTTGTTCTTGGCCAGAGTCAGCATGCCCAGCCAGTGTCCCAGGTTCTTCAGCAGGGAGCGGTCAGAGAAGTTGGCAGCTCCTTTGTCAGCCTGAAGTAAAACCTGATGATACAAAAAGAAACAAGAAATATTGAGATGTTGTGTGATGGTGACTGTGTCCTCTTCTCATTCACAAGTTTTCTTTCTTAATTGTGCAAGGAAAACAATACCAGCTGTCAGTTGTCAAGGGGTTCTTGTGCAAAAAACACCTGTGAAAACAGCAAGTGCAACCTGACCTAAGGGCCATGCAGAAACACACACACGCAGACAAACACACGGAGACCAAAAACAATACCTACTACGGTATGACTGGATGAAAAAAATGTGCTAAGAAATATCAGCATATGTCAATATCAGACAGATTTCCTCACCCAGAATATTTTTTGTTTTGCTAGCCTGAAATTTTGTCTTAAATCAACATCAGACCATCAGAAGTTACCTTGATGTTGCGGAAGGTCTCCTTGATGACCATCTGTGTGACCTCTGGGTTCTTGAGGACGTCTATGAAGTTGGAGTACAGGGTGTGGAAGTTAGGCTCGATGCTGGCTCTCTTCATCACCAGGTACTGCGACACCCAGGGTAGGTACTCCTCACCTACGGCATCACGTAACTCTTCCGTCTTTTGGAAAGAAGGATAAAAGTCTTAAAACTTTACGAAATTTGTCTGTACTAATTCACAGTAAGTACAATGATATTCTGTAACATTGCATGCTAGACAAACACAATTGAATACAAGTAGATTGTGTGCAAGTTCCTTCCCACACCATCAATGGTACAAGGATTGGCACCCATCTCCAATTCTGTAGCCCTTATTCTACACACAGTGGTGCAATCACTACAGCAGGAGGCTCTGGTCCACAGGTTGTGGTGTGTGTTTAACTCCCATACTCTTTCCTAAATGTTGAGTGCTAAGCAGAGAAAGCAGTATGTACCATTTTTAAAGTCTTTGGTATGACTCGGCCGGGGATTGAACACACGGCCTACCATATGCAAAACTTCAACATTCGCACCAGTCTCAAGCACATTGTGTACATAATGCTAATACTTCAACACTGAACACACAAGTAAGTCAAAGGACATGTTGTTGTAAAACTGTACCTTCTGGTTGAGGTTGGACTGGGAAAGATTATTGAAGATGAAAGCCACTTTGTCCTGAAGCACTTCTGGTGGTTCTAACTTCTTGTTCTGGGCATCGTTTCCTGCCAGGAGGGTGTCTATGTTTGTCGCATTGGCTATAGAAGGCTGCGTACAAACAAGAAGAGATGTTAGCATGAAAGTTAATCTGTGTTGGTACAGGTCATTATGAAATAAGGACTTAACTGTATCTGACAACACAGGAATGAATTTAGACTTTTGGCTGATTCCATCAACCTTGTTCACGGAATGGACCCGTCTACTCTTGGCATTTGACCCACTACTACGGTCAATTGTCTCTGACGTCACGTTCCAAGAGTAGACAGGTCCAATCCATGAACAGGGTCAATGGAATCAGCCGAAAATTCCCAATTTATTCCAGTGCTGGCAGATAAAGTTTAAATTTAAATTTCATAAGATAAGATGTTGTACACGCCCTATTACATTGGGATTAAACTATGATATTTTTCCAATCAGGCATAAACGAAAAAGAGAAAAATTTTGGGAATGAATAGTACTTACGCTCTGCCCAGGTCTGAGGGGTGGTGTAGAGCTGACCTTACTTGTAGCTGTTGAAAAGATACAAGTCAACAGTTGAAACAAAGCAGACTCTTACTCTTTGTATATATTAAGATTCTACCAATGTCACTAAGGATCCTAACTTAGAAGTTAAAAAGTTTAAGTCCTTGCCGCACCATGTGATACACAGGGCAACATCCATCGGTACGTTAGCCCTTGGGCCACACAATTGTGCAATCAATACAGCAGGGGGCTAGTCCACTGGTAGTGGTGTGTGTTTAACTCCCATATTCTTTCCCGAATGCTGAGTGCTAAGCAGAGAAAGCATTATGTACAATTTTTTTAGTCTTTCGTAAGACTTGACCAGGGATCAAACTCACGATCTTCCGACTGCAAGGCAGCACTCTACCCACCTGGCCATAGCACCAACTTAGAAGGGCACACATAAATTTGTATCCAATAGAAAGAATATATTCTTAAAGCCAATACGGGTATTTTTGCTTATTTGTTAGAGGTTAGCAACAAAATATTCACCTTTGAAGGGAGACTCACCACCAGACGCCGTGCTGACGGCAGTCGTTGTTACGGTCGTTGTTAACGTTGTGGACATTGTGGACGACGTTTTACCGCCGAGGCTCAGCGGAGGACTGGTGGAGGGGGCAGCCATCTTTATGGGAGGTTCTCGCGACTGTTGGCCGAACTCTACATACTGTAAACAACCACACAACATGTTTAAAGTTAAAACTTTTGATCCAACACAATAAAGTTCTCTCTTTGTAACTACCAACACAGATGAACTTTCATGATAATAAAGAAGAGTTGTTGATGAATAATAGCATGCACATTAATCAACACTGTCTCAGTTTGTATGTTACTTAGTATGTGCTTTTGTATGTTGTGAAGTAGACTAGTAGAATGGAGTAGTTTTGTAGCTTGTAGTATTTAGGCTTTGAAGTATGTAATACTAAGGTCTTGTAGTTTGTAGGTTTTAGATCTTGTATGTAATGTGTAGTTTCTAGTTTTGTAGTACATAGTTCTTAGGTTTTGTAGTACACAAATTTGTAGCTTTTACATTTTGTAGTACATAGCTTTTAGTTTTAGGTTTTGTAGTACCTACCTTGTAGGTTTTGTAGTACATAGTTTTAGGTTTAGCAATATAGTACATAGTATTGAGGTTCTGTAGTATGTAGAAAGACATGTCCTACCTCAATGAGATGTGCAGGGAACTCCTGGAAATGTGGTATGGCAGCGAGATGTTGGCAGTACTGGGGGTAGTCCTTCAATCTGAAAGTTTTAACATATACAATAAGAGTGTTATAACTGAGAGCCTAGAGGCTGACATTAAGATAAAAGCTGATAGGAGACTCAAACATACAGAATTTTTGACAAGAATACAGGCATTCTACCAGTTACAAATAGTGATCCTAGCATGTCCAAAACATTACAAAACAGGTACCGTACTAAAGGAAGTCGCTAGGGCCCAAAAACTGAGATCAAGACCATAATGTATAGCAAATTTTACAACAATACATCCATAGCTTCTTGAATACTAAAAACATTAACTTAAATGGTAAGGACAACAGGAAGAATAGCTAACAGTTGTCAAGCCGAATTGTGGATCCTAAGAAAGTCAAATTCTTCGCAAAAGCACTTAGACATACAAGAAACAGAGATCACACAACCCACCTAGTCTTGAAACGATCCAGAGCAGCTATACCGAAGTAGTACATTTTGCTTCCATGTGGCTTCCTCAGGGCCTCTAACACATACCTCAGGGCTATGCCTAGTGCCATGTACCTGAAACATACAGTTCAAATAGGTTGAAACACTGGGAAAGTAAATGATACAGGAAATCATGAAAGATTCATTTAGTCCATGACATCTTTGTTTATCACTCTAGCAGCAAATTTACATGTATGCTATGTCGTTGGGAAGCAAGTAGAGAATTCACATGTTTCTTCTTTTCTCTTTACCTTCTTTTTTAAAGATGACTAAAGGTTTGAAAGATTTGAAGATGAAGAAAAAGGATCATTTCTTTGTGTTAGGTGCAAAGAGTTGACGTATACGAGATGATTCTTTCAGTGATGCGTCTTCTGAACAAGATTTGAAAATGAAAAAAGGAGGAAAATTCTTTTTTTGTTAGGTGTAATGAGTTGACACATACGAGACGATTCCTTCAGCAATGAGTCCCCCAAACAGAGTAGCGGTGATCTGTAGCTCCCTGGTCGGGTACTGGTGGAAGTAGCGATACTCCTGGTACAGGTTCCGCAGCATACAGTGGAAAACATCCTGTGGACAATACAGTACATATTGTTGTGAACTGTGGAGTCTGAAATATTGCTTCAAACATTTTTGACAAAGTTCTCTATAAATTCTACAATGCAACTTGGTGAGTTTGTTTTGTACATTTGTACATTTTGTACATTTGTTTTGTTCGCAGCTGTAACTCATGATCCCTTTGCTGCATTGATATATAGTTTGGCATGTCGTCTGCTACTATGTGCGAGATCCAGCATTTACCCCATAGCAATTTTTATGTTCAGTGTTTCACACACCTTAGCCACACTACCTCAAAGAGGATTCCGTCCGAAGACTCTTGTTTCAAATTTTTTTCAGTGCAAGCCAACAGGAAATCCTTGCAAAAATAGAATTTTATCTTGCAATTACTATGCAAAGGGTCTATAACAAAATCAGTTACCAGTTTTGTAACCTGTATCATAGTCAAACCTGTCTTAATTGTCCACTCAAGGGACTTGAAGAAATTGGTAACAATGGCCAGGTGATCCTTGTATAGAGGTGGTCACCAGTACAGGTTTGACAGTATTCACACAATTGTACCAGTAAATGCTCTTTCCTTACCCTTTCTCTTTTGATGGGAGAGTCTCTGAACTTCTTGAGCATCTCTAAGACCTCGTCGATGGACATGGTTGGGTTGGGCGGGTGGTTGTAGATGCGCTGGAAGTAGCTGTTGGCCTCGTCATCAATCTCCTTGGAGAACTGCTGATTCATCTCTGGCCACACGTTCGACACGTCTGGAAATACAGCCATGAACAGTTTCATCAGGTTTCAACTCATTCATTTATAGAACTATCGCAGAGTGGAACTTGCTGTCACTAAGTACAGTGGGGGCATTGTCATTAGATAGCTTTAAACAATGTTTAGAGTTAGATGTTCAAGGGTAAGGTGTAATGAGTCATTCAGTGCAATGTAGCCAACTGCCGCTGCGCCGCGTGCCTGCGAAGCTGGTTTCTTGCGCCGAAGGGCGTTTAAACCAGTCATACAGATTCAGGATGGTAAGTCACTGAATAAAGAGACTTTTTTTACACAACCAAGTGTTTTATTCAGCCGATGTTTTGGTGAGAATCTGTCACCTTCCTCAGGGCAATTCTGACTGGTCCAGATTGCACAACACAGGTGATGCTGCAACATATGCGTTCCCAAATGCAAAGTATTTACATATCTACACAGTTACAGGGAATATCTATTGCAGCGACATCTGTGCTGTGCAATTTGAGAAATGTGCACTCAAAACCCAATACAGGGATGGTGCAGGTAGACAAGAAAGCCTGCACAGCTCCAATTTTACCTGCACTAGGCTGCATATTTCAAGCCCTGCCATTTCACAGATACGGAAAGTGAGTAGAGACCAACCTTGGCGCAGACTACTCGCAGCCTTCTGCTGTGCCAGTGCGGCCTGTTGGGAACTCCCGATGCTCCCAGTCTTCTGTCCAAACGCACCCCCCATGCCTGCCATGCCCAGGCTGCCGGTCGTTCCCAGTCCTGAAACATGCACAATGTCAAAACACTGTTGTAGCACTAGCAGGGTTCTCACCTGAATTTTTTCAAAGTCAGGGGTCAGGTGGGGACCAGGAAGAGAAGGACAACTTTTTGTCCCAAAGAAATGAGCACAGTAGGGGGTCTGGTATTCTCCCTGAAAAATTGAAAACTCATAACCCTCTGAGATATTATTTCCTGCGTATTGAGGAAAACCTCCTTGGTTCTTCATTCTAAAGTGGCACATTAGAATGACTTAGGCCACAGTAAGTAAATTTCATAGATGACATCCTCCACAGACTCCAAATCTAATGCAATAGGGCAAAACAAAAAGCGGGCAAAAAAACAAGATTCTTTCATTATCAAATTTTGAGGTCATAAGCCTTATTATACAAGAATTGAGGTGACAAAACATGATATGAGGCACAGTATAGGGGGCTGTACACTCAAACAGCCTATTTTTTAGACTATATACTATAGATATCTCCAGATCTCCATCCGTGCTTACCTTGTATCTGTGAAGTGAACTCTCCCATGGAGGAGAATCGTGTCTGTCCTGACGTGGAGAGGGGCGGGAACTGGTCACGGCTGGCCGAGTCCTTCTGAGACGTGGGAGGGGGGGCGAAGGCGGCCGCCAGGGGGTTGGAGGAGGGCAGGCCACCACTGCTGCTGCCAGATCCCAGACCTACACGACAAAAGGAAGATTTAGACATTTGTACAAAACATGAAAACAGGAATAGGTTTGGGGATCGCGCCATGTCTTGATTTAAGTAGTTACCATGCCACAAAACAGACTATTGTGCCCAAAAGGAAAGTTGTTTAAAAACACTGTCCACCAATGTCGTTTTAAACCATCATCATTCATGGTCAAAGCAGTCGCTTAGTCTCAGGAGAGACCTCTCTGTGTGGGCCGCGAGTGCTAAATGTAATTATATTTTTGTATGTGTTTGTATGATTCTATGTGTGTGACACAACACTAGCAACAGCTGCGTGTATTGTATAATCGCAATTTCAATAAACCAAATCAAACACAGTCCAGCCTGAGACTTCATCCCCTTACCTTGCATCTGAGACGTGAGACTGCCCATGGATGAAAAGGACGTCTGTCCTGAGCTGGAGAAGGGAGGAAACTGGTCACGGGAAACCGGGAACTGCTTCTGCGGCGATTGCGGCGGCGCGAACGACGCAGCGAGCGGATTCGCCGACTGGAACCCCCCGCCGATCGGTCCCGGGCCAATACTACCCGGGCCGATACTCCCCGTCCCGATGGCCCCTGATCCGATAGTTCCGGATCCGATAGTCCCCGATCCGATCGGTCCGCCCCCGATGTTGCCAGGCGCAAGGGGTCCAGGTCCGATGGTACCAGTTCCAGAGTTCCCACCCAGTGATAAGGAAGATATCCCGGCTAGCGGGTCTATCTGTGACACGTACGGGAGGTCGTCTCCCTTCCAACCTGGGGACAGATGCGGCTGGAACGCAAGGGGAAGGAAGAGATAGCAATTTTAGTTTTTTTTTTAATCACAACTTAAGGCGAAATTCTACTTTGAGGACCAACTTTCTAAATGTAAGACTATACATGAATGCTATTCACAGACTCTGAGGTGATTCAAGGTGAAAGAAACACCCAAACATGGACTTTGCTTGAGGTTTGTCATAATATTACACTAAGAATTATGAAGTGATGACTTGACAAAGGGGTAGTTAGCATGTTACTTTTTTTTGTACAGAACTTTAGGAGAAATTCTACTTTGAAGCCTCAGCATCAGAGGACGGGGAACAACAGACACTATGAATCGGATACTGAGTGAGTGAGTGAGGACTGACTTTATGTCTGAAAATAATACTACACATGAATGCAACAGGGTGTCTGCTACAGCACCAGTTACCATGGTGACAGACATCTAGTTCAGAGGTAATGAACCTTATTTGTTTGGATAAGAAGAAGAACCTGAGCAAAAACAATACGTTTTCCTTCAGTTAACATAAAAGTGGTAACTTTTAAGTCAAAGTTGAACAATTTCAATGAAAACTGTGCAATATTTAAGGAAGCTGTGCAATATTGTATGTCCTGGTGTATTGTATGATGTCATATGTCTAATGTCTACCTGCATGTTCGGTCAGTTATGACCGACGTGACCTGGGCTCAATGTTCCTTTCTTGTATTTGTGAATAAAGAATGATTTTACAACTAAACTTGCCCCTCACCTGTGATGTGATGACAGGAGAGATGTTGTCCAGGCCTGATGTCGGAGGCAGCCCGCTAGGCGGGCGCTGCTTGATGGAAACATTAGCAGCTCCGGGCGGCGGCTGCCGTGCCTTGTTCAGTATCTGACTACAGTTGCCCACCATGGTGAGGATGGTCTCGGACAGCTCCTGTGACACATTGTTGGCGCAGGCCTGCAGACAGGCCAGCATGGTGCCGATGGTCTCTGGGGGGAGCTGCGCTGACTTGGGAGGCTCCTTGTCAGGAGGGGGCCCACCCATAACCTGAGGATGAGGATGAAGGTTTCAATGAAGGTTAGACATCCAGGTAATAAGATACACCAAAAAAACAGTCACTCATGCATCTGGATATAGCTTCTCTAGTGTCACTGACGAAAGGTAGTAGATGGTACCTAAAACGTCTGACCCTTTTCAAAATCATATCCAGTTGCTTGAGTAACTGTTTTTTGGCATATGATTATTAAAATAAAAATCAATCACAGACTGATGGCTGAATTGCTGATTCAGTACAATACAATCTTCCTCAAAACTTGTTCTAAAATGAAACATAAAGTTTACATAATTGGCATTATCATATTACAATAAAAGCTTGGTATACATGTAGTATATACATGTACCAACACAAAAAATCAACAAGGAGGGACAGCAGTTATAAAGGCCTACTATACCTGCGGGACGCGGCGTTTCAGGAACGTGACGCAGGCCTGGATGAAGGGTTCACCGTGCTCGCGGATCTTGTCTGTCAGCCACTTGTCCAGCTTGAGGTACTCTCGACGGGAGGCCAGGCAGGCCAGGTCGATGACGAAGGCAAAGGGAGTGCCGTTCAACAGCATGGAGAGTGCCTGGGTGGACAAATACAGCACAAAATACAAGTCAGAATTACTGTTCGGAACTTTGGACAAATCAGTCATACTTTCAATGTACATACTACACAGTATTTAAGAACAGAAATACATTATCCTGTATTCCCAGGTCACATAACTGAAGCTGACGAAAGCTAGTGGATACTAGCTGAAACGTCTGACCGTTTTCAAAATCATATCCAGTTGCTTGAGTAACTGCTTTTTGGCGTATCTTACTACCTGGATGTCTAACCTTCATCGACATACACAACGTTGCTTCAGGTCAAGTTATGCAAGGTACAGTGTAGATCCAAGACCCAGAAGGTGACTTGTTGTAAAGTCTAATGGCACAATACAGGAATGACTGCTGCAGTCGTTTGGTTCTTGCATAGGGAACAGTGATGTTCTTCTCTTACCTTTAGGTCCTGGGCGACGTCTAGAATCCTGGAGAGCCTCTGTTGGTCGTGTGCCTCTCCCCTCATGTACCACTCAGCCATTACTCTTCTCAATAAGTGTGGTAGGATTTTAAACATGCTATAGATGCAGCTCTTCTCTTACCCTTACGTCCCTAGTTTTTTCAGGACTGAAAGATTTCAGTTCCTAGGCCTTACCTTGAGGTCCTGGGCGACGTCTAAAATCCTGGAGAGCCTCTGTTGGTCGTGTGCCTCTCCCCTCATGTACCACTCAGCCATGGAGTGCATGACTAGCTGGCGTATGGAGGGACTTTGTCCCTGGCCGTGCCAGGCATAGTGCAGGACGATGGCGGAGTTGGGGTGGGAGCCCAGGAAGATGGGCATCAGGGTGGAGATCAACTCGTGACGCAGGGTGTGCCAATTGGGCTGAAAAGATACACAAAACATTAAACATATTTTTACAAAAAAAATAACAAAAAAATATTTTTTTGTATTTACAAAAAAAATTACAAAAAATTTCTTCCAAAAAAATCCCTAAA